AGGTCTTGTAGATTCGCTCTTGGACTAATGATTGGGTCCGAAGAAAGGACACCCCCGTTGTTGTTTGTTGACATACCTCGTTAATTAGGTCTTTTCCTCTGTTTTCATGTGCAACACTTTGGTGATGCACTAAAATGAGGCAGATAGCCAAGAGCGACAAGTATTTTGTAATGGTTTCCATTTTCTTTTCTTGTGTGTTGTTGTTGTCTTTATGAAGTTGTCGGTGGTGGGTTCTTCCTCTGCAATTTTCTTGAAGAAATCGATATTTAATCGATTAAAAAAGGTTTTTAATCGATTAATATATTTTATTTACACTTAGTAGATTAAATTTTTATGTAATCGATTAAAGAGGGGTAAAGTGAGGTATAGTTTTGGAACAGGGACAAAATAATTATTTTTTATTTAATAAGGGATAAAAAGGTCAAAAAGCCAGTAATACTTTGTATAAGTTTTATACATAAAAAACTTCCATTTGTCTCCATACTAAACTCATCTAATATTATAATATCTGGCACTAGAGTATGAAAAAATTTGTTTGTGTAATAATTACTTTTTATTCATTTATTCTATACGTACATAACTTAATTTTATTTTAATTTTATTATTATTTTATACAAAATGGTGTTTTTGACTTGCATTTCTACCCTCTACCCTCATCCTCAATGTTTTATTTTGCTAAGTGATTGCAGGAGGAAAACGGGATTTGGACCACGTTAAAATGAATGTGCCTAAGTCCAAAATTAGGATCACGTTTCGACATCAATCTAACTAAACATCCAATTTCGGGAAATTGAAACACAGTATCAACTTTTTGACTAGAGCCCAAATGCATTCAGTTTATAAGGACAAAAGACACACTCGCGCGCTCACAATTTTGGGAAATTTTAGACCCATCAACATTGTGACAAGAGCCCAAATGTATTCCTGTACACATAGACACACAGAAGGAGCTAGAGACTCTCCTTTTGCCTAATAGAACTTTAAGACAGTTGACAGAATTTGTTAATATCAAATGCTAACTCATTATGTTTACAACCCCTTATTTACAACTAATACTCCGTAATTAAAGCTTTGGTTTTGGTTTATTGCAGTTATGGTTTTGTTACTTTTGTAGTTGTGTCTAACCTTTGTCCTGATGCAGTATTGTCACTTGCATGGTGGATGGAAATACGTGTAGTTTGAGCAGAACTTTAGAGAAACCAACTTGGCTCGGTATTCTTATACCTTTCCACCTTTTTTTATTTTATTTTTTTGATTTATTGATAGCTCCCAAAAATAGAGAGCTATGATGTATTTCGTAGTAAAAAAAAACTCCTATTTTGAAAGTTATTTTTATTGTTTATATTTACTTTTATGGCCAGGAGCACTTATTGTGTATTTTGAGTAGGAGCCATGCATTGTAGTGAAAATTTGTATATATCTGGGAGCTAAACCATATTTTTTTGCTTAATTCTAGACTTATTATGTATTGGTTTATTTCAGGTAATCTAGCCCATATCTCGAAGGCCCAATACACCACTGATGATGAATACTAGGAAGAAAGAGAGAAAAAGACAGAAAGGATAAAAAGGATGAAAAGCTGGCAGGAGAGAGAAAAGCACCCTTGCCACAGCTATGACCTACGTGGAGAAAAAGTAGAAGAGAGAGAATATATTGTAATTTTCAGCAACACCACACTTACATTCCACCAATGGCAGAGCATAAAGCAGCTCAGAATATTCTAATAGGGCCGAGCTAGAGAAATTTATCCAAGAGACAAATGCATTTTGGACTATTAGATACTGATGTGTCTTTAAAATACTATATATTAGGTGACAAACTCAATATCTAATTAAGCTAAAATTAATTAAATATACATGATAACTGAGATTAAATGGCTATTTCATTCTCAATAGATATTCTCATAAGAGATTACCATGTTTTATAGGAATTTTGGCTAAATGGAAAAATAAGTTTGGAGAGCCCATAAACAATGCCTATGTTGAAGTTCCACAAGAGAAGAAGAAAAACAAGTTGTTGCTTGGAGCGCCAATTTCACGCTACTAGCATCACATTTTCCATAACCACTGGTTCACCTCGATTCTAGCGTGAAGTTCATGCTTTAAGTGCCAAGTGACCAGCATTTAATGTTTCTCCACGCTAGTGGCGTGGGCATATAGTGCCCTTAGCGCCAATTTCATGATTTTCATTGCTTCTCCATGCCAGCGTGGCAGTGGTGCTACTAGCGTCAACATGCTAGTAAGATTCAAGTGCTGTGATATCTAATCAAGGATGTGATTTTAATGAAGATTTGATTGATTATTTGATTTAATATCTTGAAGAATTTTTAAAAGATATAACTTCCTGATTATAAAAAGATGGCTGGAAATCAAAAGTGGAGTTCCGCACAATTGAAGAACGGTAAGACTGGATAATTGAGAGAATTCAGAGATCAAGTGAAGTGAAGAAAGATCGAAGCAACTGTGGAGATCGACCAGCATTCCTCCTTCAACCTTTCATCTAATTTCTTTTTCATATTTTATTTTGTTTAAGCTAATTATGTTTGACTAATTTCTTCTTTGTAGTTAGGGATATGGATCCGACATGAATCATTGTTTGATTTAATTCTTTTCATTAATAAATTATCTTTAATTGTTTGTATTTACCTCGAATTGTATGCTTAAATTCTTGTATGACTTGATCAATGATATAGCAATAAAGAGGGTTTGAGATCACAATAGACATATTAGGATCTTGATCTAGATAGGGATAGAACACCAATTCTTGCATGATATAGACATAATCTTGTAAGAATTGTGAACTTTTATAATTCATCATGCTTAAGGCTTAATCTAAAAGGAATTACTAATACATTAGGGTTCCAATTGGGTTAAAGGGTTAAAGAACTAAGATATTAGGATTTATCCCATTAATTATTAGATGATGAATTGTTCGAATCAATTGGGATAAAATATTATAGAATTGAATTAGATTATCAAGGTGAATTGAAGGTGAAGTTGACCCTAGTTACAGTTACCATTATCGATTTTTAATCCATTCTTTAATTCGTTGCATTTTGTTCTTATGTTCGTTATTATTGAGTAGTCATTAATTGTTCCTTTTATGATTTTCTTTCATTCAGTTTAATCATTTCTCTTTTCAAACCAATTTTATATTTGTTCAAATTAAGGGGAAGAGTAATAATAGTGTTTGGAGTCCCTAATCCTTGTGGGAACGATACTTTTTCATCACTTTATTACTTGTTCGATCGGTATACTTGTCGTGAGCGAAATAGATACAATCAACGCTTCAGATTACTTCGAATTGGATAAAGCATTTATAAATACAGAGGAGAACATCACCATTAGAAGCTTTAAGCTCTTAGCTTTTTACTGGGGAAAAGACCTCACGTCCTACTCTGGTCCTTTGCCATTTTTTCTTAGTTTTTCTTTCACTGTTCTTAGTTTGTAATTAGGAAAGTTGTAATGTGCTCCTTAGTATGAGCTAATTTCTTTTCGTAGGCGAATTGGACGTAGAAGTATCCTTCTAGGTTGAACTCTTGATGTAAGCTTGTTGCCATTAATGGATTTTATGATGTTTCTATTTTATTGTTCTAGTTAACTAACGTTAAGGGAAGTCGTAGGAAGTTGGCTCTCTAGCTAGAGGGATTTCCATATCGAGAAACATCTATTGTGTGTAGAATTGTTCCAAGGCAATCTTTGCATGCTACCTTAGAAATAAGGAGCAAGCACAATCTTCCTTGGATCTTAATCTAATTGGACTTCTAAGGTTGTTTGGGGTATAAAAATATGCGCAAACCACTCTAGGTAGCAAAACTTGATGCTAGAAAAATCTGTATTAAAGGCAATGAAGGGCACTCGAAGCTCAACCCATTATAGGAGCAGTGCTGAGTTTTGAGAATAACCCAGTGAGGCGAAAATACCAACCTAAGCCTATAATTTCAATATTGTTATCTTCTTACCTCTATATCACTGATACTCTTGCTCTTTGTTTGCAACAATTATGATTTCCTTAAAGGCACTACACTCTTTTCGTTTCTCATTTTTTGTTCTGTTCTTAAAGCATTGCCTCTCAGAAATTGTTTTTTTTACTTGCTTGTTTCTATATTTTCCCAAGGCGCGCCATAAATTAAGTTTCAATGATAAACCCAGTTCTTATCCATTTCAGAATCATCAACTCTATTTGATTGAGCTGATGGCAAGTGCTTAAAGGCTAAATTGAACTTAGGATAAATTAGCTCCTTGGTTTCAATTGCTCTTTGCTTCTATTTTGTTTTCGTTTTCATTGTTGACTTTTATACACTTCTTTAAGGCACCACTTTACAATTTTTCCCTTGGGACAATAATCTGGGGCTTACAAAACCCTATATTTCTAGATGAGAAAGTTTGCGTATTGTTGGTAGATTTGTGCCCAGAATAATCATATAGCTCCTCGTATTTTGCTCTCATATTACCTTGAGAAAATCTTGGCCAACCAAGCATTTATCAACAATAGAAACAGATAGGAAAATTATTAAAATCATGACATTACCACCATTTTATTCAACCTAAAAGCTTAAGGTTATGTTAGACGAAGATATATTAATGATCTCATATTTTGCATTATATTTTTCTAATAGGTAATACGTTTCTTATTGGGTTTAAAGGGTGGACAATACAAAAGTACATCTATCCATGCTAAGAGACTCAATGATATTTAATTATTTATTAATAAAATATGGACGATACAAAATCAATTCAATCTAAAAACTTAAACCGTTAAGTGAATGTATCATTGATCTTATATTTTATATCCTATTTCTCTAACGGAGAAAAGGAAGATAATTTGTAATGTGCTGTTAACATGTAATGCACATCGCCATCGCTGTTTTCAATCTCAAAACAATTAATACAACTATAATAGTTTCTTTCGCATCTTATTAGCACAAATAACATATAACATAGGAAAATTGAAAATAAAGCAGCAGTATAAATCAGGACTCTGAAGTTGGACCAAATGTATCAGAGCCTAAGATCTAAGTCAAGCACATTTATATCTGATTCTTGCTTTGGCGAGTCCATTCGAAAGCTTCCTGGCCATATGAAATCCACAGCTTGTTCAAGCATAAAGGGTGTCCATGCCATTCCAATCCCTGAACTGGAATCACTGAATCGAGCCAACATAGTTGGCTTTTCTCTACTTGGCTTGTGCACAAGCGAGTGGGTTTGTAATCCCAGTGATCTAGTAGCCAAAGAAGAGTAACAAAGCCCCATTGATGTTGTCATCATCCTCTGAGATTGGTAACTTCTAGCTGCTTCTCTTTCCCTTTTGTGTGCATTTTGGTGACCACCCAAGGCTTGTGAACTGTAAAACTTTCTCATACAGAAGTTGCATGAGAATACCTTGTTGTGGAGAGGTTTTGATTGGGATTCTGGGTTTTGCTTAGCTGCTTCCAGAGGCATGTCTCCTATGAGGCCTAAACTCAACCATTCTCCTATGTTATCATCTTCCGAGGTCATATTTTCGTAGTTGGCAATGTTCTGTGATCGACATTCCTCATTCCACATTTTGTTTATTGATTGACACCTGATCATGAACTTGCTCTCTGATGAAGGTCATAGTAACCCTTCTTTCATATCAGAATGGTTTTGCAAGACTGCTTTGTGGTAGAGGGGTGTGGCAATTGAGAGGGCTTGCTCTTAAATAAGCATAAAAAAAAGGGGAGGAATGATTAATGGGTGCAAAGGGTAGGAAGTGGGAGATGAATATTATTTGGTGAAGTGTTATCTTTTATGATCTCAGCATTACGCTATGTCCTGTGTTGCCACCGAGTTTTGCATGTATTATGATTGGAGCATTGGGACACTACTAATCAATCTGGTTGAGTTGGCAATTCAAGGCTTCAGATTCCTACTTGTCTTAATCCTTACACTTCTTCTTATAGCATCTAAATAGGTTCCCGCTGGTGGACTTAGAATTGACTAGTTACATGCACAGACAGAGACATTGGCATACTGGTACAGTAAATGTTGTTTTGACTAAGGTATGGTCCGTCCAAAGCATAAGATGGCCGTTGGTTTGTTGTTACTCAGAGTTGGCACGGCAAATAACACGTGGCAAGCAATATAGAGAGAGTGGGAACATTTTCAGTAAACAAAAAAGCAAACTCCATGCTCAATATTAGAAAATGATCAAATACACTAAAGATAGTGGACCGAGTTGTCGCTGGTTTTGCACAATCTTTATTTTTATTGATAATAACGCAATTCTCCTATTCTGGAAGTTAACGGGGTCCCAAAAGCTGCCAATAATTGTAACAAAAAGTTAAGGGGAAAGAAGTGATATTGAGTTTTCAAATCAGTTTCTCTCAAGATATGATGGTTGTTGAGTTTTCAAATCGGTTTCTCTTAAGATATGATGGTTGTATAAGGACAAATCTTTAGTGCATTATATGTATACAACTCGGTATAATTTTATTTTTTATATTTGAATTTTTTTTTTATCACTTTTGAAAAAAACAAATTCAATCACATTGAAAAAATTTCTTCTTTTAAAAAAAAGATATACCGAGTTGGGTATATTGGATGTATCAAAAATTTGTCCATTGTTTGGTGTCCAGTTGTTTGTGGGCTTCGCCAATGTTTCATAAACAGTGCATTTAAGGGCTCGTTTGAATGTTTTTTTTTTCTTCAAAAGTTATTTTTTTTAAAAAAATATATTTCTAAATTTGTTTGAATGTCTATTTTTAAAAAAAGCAGAAGTAAAAAAAAAGTCAAAAATTTATTTTTTTTAGAAGCTAAAAATTTTAACTTTTAAAAAAAGCAAAAGTCAAAAGTCAATTTTTTTTTCAAAAGCTAAATATTTTTATAAAAATTAAATAATTTTAACTTTAAAAAAAAACATTTTTAAAATAAAAAAGAGATAAAAATTACTTTTTTCTGCAAGGCAAACAAACCGGTTCTTAAACCCCTTATGCAACCTCGACTAACAGGATAGAGTCCGGCCAATTCTTATATGCAACTTTGCCGTTGTTCATTTTAAAAGGTTTTTTTTTTTCCTGATTAAAATCCATGATCTTTTCGTTATAGAAGTAATTTGTTTGGGGTACATAAAGTAATTTTATCATTATTCTTGATTCTGTTTGAATCACTCTCCATTAAATTTCAACTAGAGATAGGTGTGGGAAATTATACCATCTTATCCTTTCATATTTATAAAAGACTGTATTTTAGATTTGAGTATGTGATATTTCAGTAACAAAGAAGTGGGTTTATCATTTGTGCTTATTCCTATAAATCAAAATCTTCCTCTAATGATTTTTATTAAGAAAGTTCATAATTTCTCCTGTAATGGGATATATATACGGTAGAATAATTGAGGTGTTGGATTGATGAGTCGGAAGTTATGAATTAGACATGACTTAGCTTGTTGGTATATGATAGAAATTTGACTAAACACCTTTTTTGGTCCCTGACAATATCTACGAAATTCTTTTTAGTTTCTGACAATAAAAAAGGACCAAATTGGTCCTTAAAATTATGAAAAAATGGCCACATTAGTCCTCATGTCAACTCCTCCGTCACTAACGTGGCCCTTTTTACATACTGTTAGGGACCAATTTGATCTTTTTTTATTGTCAAGGACCAAAAATGGTGTTTACTCTAAAAATTTAAAAAATGCAAGGATTAAAGGCCAAAAGAGTTGTCAATTATCTACACAAGGCTGAAATCAGTGTCAGCTCAAAATGAAGTACCTAGCCTTTCTTTGCTCAGCACATACCAAATATGAATCACTTCCTTCTTGTATTGACGTACCACAATTAGAAATTAGAATATATAATCAGCTTCCACTTAGGAATAACCCGAATATTAAGGGATCGGGTTGGCAGTTCATAAGATTTTAAATTGATTTAATTATAAATTAGAAGTTGCAAGCCCTTGAAATATCCATTAGTTGTTCTAACATAAAAATTTAAAACCTTCGACGTAAATTTAGCCCACTTATTCTTTTTTTATATTAAAGTCAGGACCCGCTATTGGCTAATATGTGCATGTTAGTCAAAATCTCATCAGGTATCAATTGCAGGCATTTTTTTTTATAAACATCCAAGTAAGTAAGCAACAATTTCTGGTTCCGAAATGGTTATAAGGAATCTCCCAATGAGCTATTGGGCTGGCTTATTCTGATATATTCTCACGTGTGCTTCTGTTTGGGTTAGTCCTTCATTAAAAATAGAAAACAAAAAGGGTAAAAGATGGAAAAGGAAAACTGAAGGATAACAAATTCTAACCATGTATATAGCTTATGTTAATAAAGTGTGGTCCTCTTTTACAGTTTTGCTTCTGCACTTTGCAAGGATGAAATCGAAATCCTTCAGTTACAAGCTACAACAATTATCCGGAAAGTACAAAGGAATAAAAACCTCTCTCTCAATACATTTCTTTGTATATAGGAAAAAATGTGTATCATTTTAAAAAATATAAAGTTGTATCATTATTTTAAGTGAGAAAAAGAGATAAATGATGGAGAAGAGAGAGTGGATTAAGAATAAAATAAAGGTATGGATCTCATCTCTTTGTGAGAGTAAAATGACATAACTTATGTTATTTAAAAAGATAAATATTTTTATATATATATATATATATATATATATATATATATATATATATGAGTTTAGTGAGTATCAAGTGACTTGATGTACATTAGGTCCAGTGCACTATATTCTCCCGTGAGAATATAGTGCACAAAATTTTTTGCCTATGTTCTTCCGGGAGAACACCTACAGAACACCATTGTAATGTTTTTGCACTATATTCTCACGGAAGAATATAGTCAAAATTCAGTTACTGGACCGTCCAGTGACTGAATTTTAGATTTTTCGTATATATATATATATATATGGGTTTTATTAATCTCCTTTTATATAAGATAGGTATCTTATGTTGTAGAGAGAAACTAGGTGGGTCCCACCATTACAAGAAAAAAAAAATGAGGTGCAAAAATCGAAGTGAGAGAAAATGAGATAAGCTACCTCATGTAAAAAGAGACTAATATTTCCCTATATATATATATATATAACAACTTTTTCTCTTAACTATTGTCCGTATTTCTACTATTCCACTAAAGTCATAACATTTATCAACTTGGATGGATAGTAGGCAATATCGAAGAGACAGCCTGTCACAAAACCAAGTTGAGGCTTGAGGGAACAAAAGTCGGTCTTATGAAAATATCAAATTTTAATATTTCATTCTCATTTTCTATAATTTTTTGTTAGTCTGATACTTTTCGTATTGTTATATTTCGAGCAAGTTGAGGCTTGAGGGAACAAAAGTCGGTCTCATGAAAATATCAAATTTTAATATTTCATTCTCATTTTCTATAATTTTTTGTTAGTCTGATACTTTTCGTATTGTTATATTTCGAGTTCGTTAATTAGAACAAGGAACGTAGCAAGGTAAAATATATTGTTGTACTGTACTGCGACTGTTTGTTTGGACTAGCAATGCGGTTCAACTTATGAAGTACCGACACTTCAAAAATTTTAACGTGTTATGTCTGATATTTTTCGACACTCACCGACACTCCGACACTTCTCGACACTCCAATACTCGTTGCAAAGACTCAAAAAAAAATTCAAAAGTTATGTTGCATTGCATTTTGAATTTTAACTATTAGATTCGTTAGATTACGATTACGATTTTATTGAATTTAATATAAACATTTGAGATATATTATGTTTCTTTGCAAAATTGATGGATATTATAAGTTTAGCTATTTTTTTTTAAATTATTGAATACTAAATATAATATACACGATATAAATTAAAAATATTATATAATATCAAAACGTGTCTTAACGTATCGGAATTTAACATTTTTTAGAATTAACGTGTCGGAGTATCGTGTCGTATCCCGTATCCCGTATCGGTGTCGGTACAACATAGGATCCAACTACCAATCAATAAACTCTAAATTTTTAAATATTGCCATTTGCCTCATTTATTTACTGACTTGAGTATCGATGATCTTTCAGGTGCAGTGACCCTCTTGTGTTATATGTGAGAGAATGTGGCAACTGAATAGAGTTAAGAAAAAATAGGAATTTTAAGATACTATATATTAACCAAACCAATAGATAATGTTCTTTCATGAAAGTGTAAATTTAATGAAAGTCTCTATCTGCTATTGCAATGATACTTAATAAAAGAATCATTAAATTTAAGACTATATCTTTTGAGGGATTTACGTCTCTCATATTATAAAAGATAATTTTTATCTGTTACGTACGGGGCCTATATTTTCTTTTTCTATGTCTTCTCTTCATATGACCCCACATGGGTCGCATACATTTTTATGTGTATATAGGAGATAATTTTATCTCATATAATGTGAAAGACCTTTTTTTTTGGATAAACCACAGGTATCTTCCATCGGAAGCAATTCTGTTCAAAGCAGATCCAGTATTAAGGCTTTAAATCCCTCCCAAAGATGATAATGGGGGGTATCGAACACATGCTTTCATCCCCACCTGCTTAGCTCCCATGCACCAACTGAG